TCTTGCATTTTTTTCTCGTTCTTCTAAATGAAAAAAAATTCAGCTTATACCCGCCTATTTGAGCATTAGAGAAGTCGGCGAAGAGGACAAAAGAAAAGAAAATTGGGTGTAGAAGGAGCACAACATTGCTGCAAATATTGACAATTATAGTTCCTTGACACGGTTATAGAAGTGAAATTGCTACCGTAATAGCAGAAGATGATTAGTTGAAAAGTAGAATAGTCAAGTTGGTGGATGAAGAAAGAAAAAAAAGTCTTGCTTTTTAAAGGTATTTTAGTGAGGAACAGACTGTATTAGCAGAATTTGAGGATGTTTTTGTTAATTCGAAACATGAAACTATTTTGGGTATTGGTGTTGGTATGATGTAATAATGATTAGTGTCTAAATGGGTTGTTATATTTCGATATGATATAGTTGAAAGATTATTCTTTTGAGGTTTTGTCTGTTGAACTGTACTGACAACGGTAGCACTTTTTTGATCTACTTTTCCTTTTTTTTTTTGTTATTTTTGGATATCAGTCATTGTATTACCTCTTTTTTGATTTTTTTTTCTTTTTTTTTTCTTCTAGGCAATCTACATAATTCTTCGTCGGTTGACAATTACCATGGTTCATTTATCAGCTGATTGTTAATTGATTCCATATCATACGCATCAGATTTATGCCTCATTTTTTTGATTAACGGACACCAACCCACCCTCCACTTCTTCCTGTGTCTGCTAAAATTCCAATTTTTTAAATTGTCTCTCTTGAAAGAAAAGTTTTTTGGGAGGAAAAGAAAAATGAGAAAAAATCTTAATCTTCTTCATCGGATAAATAATCTTTAGAGGGGAAGAAGAAGAGGAAGAAGACGAAGAATTTGCCAACTAGGTTATTTGGAAAAAAAAAGAATTTTTTTGCCGAAGAGCTTAAACAGAACAAAAAAAAAAAGAATAAAGAAAGGAAGACTTTTCGGGTTGATACATATATTTTTTGACGCAAATAAAGTTTTGATTTGCACGCCCAACCGCAGAGTTTTTGTATCTGTAACAATTTTATGTCTCTTAGATTATAGATTAGAGTTGTTGAAATTTTTTCATTCTAAGTTCAAGTTCCAAGTTCTTCTCGCTGCTATTTTTCCATTGTTTTTTTTTTTT